CTCCGGCTGCTCCCGGCCGAAGGTGGAGACTGGCAGTGGCAGGCACCGCTGGCGAGGGCGTTTGGGGACCCAGGGTGACCACGGCGCAGCCATGGGGACCGCGCTTGTGTACCATGAGGACATGACGGCCACCCGGCTGCTCTGGGACGAGTAAGTGGGACCTGGCCGAGGTGGGGTGCGGGGAGGGACCTCTGGACTGAGCTCTTCGTCTGTCCCAGCCCCGAGTGCGAGATTGAGCGCCCTGAGCGCCTGACCGCAGCCCTGGACCGCCTGCGGCAGCGCGGCCTGGAACAGAGGTGTCTGCGGTTGTCAGCCCGCGAGGCCTCGAAAGAGGAGCTGGGCCTGGTGCACAGGTCAGGACGGGGGAAGCCCCCCCACGATATGGGGGCAGGCAACCCATCTAGAAACCTGGGAACCTGGGCCTGCCAGCCTTGAAGACAGATCCTCTCCCTATGCACCTTGGGTGGGCTCACAGGCTTGAGGAAGTGACAGGGTGGCCACTCCCACCACAAATCCCAGCTCCCCCCTCCCGGCCCCCTGCTCCTGCTGGTGACCCTGCCTCTCCTGCCTGCCCATCTGCATGCAGCCCAGAGTATGTGTCCCTGGTCAGGAAGACCCAGGTCCTAGGCGAGGAGGAGCTGCAAGCGCTGTCCGGACAGTTCGACGCCATCTACTTCCACCCGGTGCGTGTCCCCGGACACACTCACCTGTGCAGACACATGCACGCGCCTCTGCACATTCACAGTCATGGCTGCCGATCCCAGCCAGCGTCCCCTGGTCTGTGCACGTGACATTGTCCAGCACACCTGCCTGCTGGCGCTGCCAGAGCCTGGGACTGGCCTGTTGTGCTCAGCAGCTGGTGCCTTGCAGCCTGACACAAGTGTGGGCATGGCCTGCAAAGGGCAGCAGGGAAGGCGGGGGGGCTCATCTGTGCCCCTGCGCCCACAGAGTACCTTTCACTGTGCACGCCTGGCCGCAGGGGCTGGACTGCAGCTGGTGGATGCTGTGCTCACGGGAGCTGTGCAAAATGGGCTTGCCCTGGTGAGGTGAGAGCTGCTGCTTCCCCTGGCTGCTCCTCTGTGGGTGGCCCCATGAGGGGCCAGGGCAACCCTGACACAACCCAAATCCTCCTCTCACGCCATAGGCCCCCCGGGCACCACAGCCAGAGGGCAGCTGCCAACGGGTTCTGCGTGTTCAACAACGTGGCCATAGCAGCTGCATATGCCAAGCAGAAGCACGGGCTACACAGGTGTGTGCCAGGCTGGCTGCGGGGGTGTAGGCCCAGGCCACACAGCAAGGGGCGGCACAGGTGGTGAGAGAACCCAGCCAGCATTTTCCCATCCCTGGCCGGGCTCCTGGAGGTAGGAGGCCCTGCCCCTCAGCCAGCAGCGCTGTCTGTGCCCAGGATCCTCATCGTGGACTGGGATGTGCACCATGGCCAGGGAATCCAGTATCTCTTTGAGGATGACCCCAGGTGAGCAAGGGTGCAGACAGTACCCTTTCCTGCAACCCCAGCCTGGCCTGGGAAAATCCAAGGGCAAGATACAGACGTGCTCGGGTCAGGGTTCTACGGGCAGCTGTAGAGCTGTTGAGGGTCCTGACCTCTGATCTCTGGCCCTGGCTGGCCGTTGGCAGCGTCCTTTACTTCTCCTGGCACCGCTATGAGCATGGGCGTTTCTGGCCTTTCCTTCGAGAGTCAGATACAGACGCAGTGGGGCGGGAACAGGGCCTCGGCTTCACTGTCAACCTGCCCTGGAACCAGGTGCCTACCCTCAAGCCCCAGGCCCCCACCCAG